CATAGCATTAGCTCCATTATCACTAATAAACTTACATTACTACCATCTATTTCTCTGCTGCAATATCAATTTAGCAAGATGTCTCCATTTAGGCTAGACATAGGCTCTCACTGATTTTGTTTCTCTTCTTTTGATACTTACACAAACCATGCCCACAATGCAAAGCATCATATACATTTACTGCAGAAGTACCCGCCTCCCCATCCTAAACTCTATGTAATACTCAATCTTCAATTCAAAAGGCCAAAGACATATAATCTATCAGGATGAGGGAAAAAATTCAGTAGCACTGGAAGTATCCTGGTCCCTGTAATAATGAGGGATCTCTTAGGTAAAAATAGCCAGCTGATTCTTGGAAACAGATTAACCTCGATGTTGCAGAGAACACAACTATAAACTCCAAGCATTTCAAGTAGTAGTTGGCTTGATGCAGAAATGCCACCAGTTTCCTGATAACTTCATGGCTGGCTTTCAGAACAAGAGGGTTGTAATCAGCAGCTTCCACCGTCTGCTTGCAAAACTTCACCCACACTTTCTGCTTCCTCTAACTTCCTGACATCTTTGAGCACTCAGTGTCCCAGTGACAGATAGGAACCAGACGGTCTTTACACCAGACAGGTCTGAGCTGTTTCAGGAATTTAATCAGCTTTCCTAGAACGTGCAGCACAGCCATTCCTTCTACAGTTGGCACGCAGGTGAAGTCGCATGCCGCTCGTTTTATAAATAGGCCTAATTACTGGTGGCTCTAGTGACATGCCTGTGATCAAGCTACTTGCCCGTTACTTTAGCTACCTGACCCACTGCCTGGACATCCGTGTGCAAGTCTGACTGACGCCAGAGCATTCTGTATATTTAAATACTACAAACAACAAACAGATCACTATCTTCAAATTCAAATAACAAAATCGTTCTGCTTCACAACCAGTATCTTTTACCACAGAGCAATATCTCTTCACCTTTTCCTTTTTGACTGTTAGCTACACTTGCATTGAACAATTAAAAACACCACAGGCATGGATTTAGCGTTACTCTGCTACAGGAGTAACTCACTAAATCTGAACACTGTATCCAGAGGCAGAATACCCTCAAAGATGCTCAAGGATGAGCACTGCCTGATGCTCCAGTTTCTTCCTCAGCCTTAGCTCTTTGGCATTTTTTGCTGTAGCATGGTCAAGGCCTCTCCCTGTTTGGATATCTAGCTTTTGTTTTCAGAACGCAGAAATGAACTTTCCAGCTTTCATCTAACTATGGACAACACTAAACACTGATTTGAATCCATAAAGAAGCAACTGGGGATCCAAGTACCAAAATAAGCTCTGCAAAAAGACCAGATGATCTTTTGGTAGCCTTCTCTCTGAGGACCAAGGGATCGAACCCCAGCGGGCAGAGCTGCTCACAGCATGGTGCCAGCAGACTCATCCCTGAGCACCTCCCACCTCACTCATTCAGTATATTTTTATAACAATCAATCCTTGGCCTGCACAAACTGCTTTCCTTTCTCACCTTCCCAACAGCACTGGCTCAATCAACAAAAAGAGCCATAATTTTATCAATTCTTTAGTTTTGCTCAGCCATTACGTTTCAGATGTTGCTCTTTCATTGTGGGGCAGAAACAGGAGAGAGATGTGTTCAAAATGATATCCAAAGCACCTTCAAAATATCGCCTACATCAATCCTCATCAATTGTGGACATTCTCCTCTATTTGTGACCCATTTCCATTTTGAATGCTTAGGTAACAACCACCATACTGCAATCTTTTCATTGGTACAGAAACATTTAACTATAGTTACTAGTGCACTACACAGTGCTACCAGTGAAGTTTATCATCCTTACAGAAATTTTCATCCATTCACCCACTCACACAAAACTCACCGTTTCTTCACATCTCCATAAAAACGTGGAGGAACGTCACAGAGTAAATTTAAGCCAAAGAACTAATAAGTAAGGAAAAACAAAAGCTCTGTTCTAAATAACTAATATTTCAGCTTAATAACGTGAGAGAAGCTCTGACTACTGTTGTTTCAGGGCCCATAGACCATACACTGAGAAAAGAGAACATTTTGGGAGGAAAGGTCCTGTCAAACAACCCTACTTCACGGGACCCTAGCAGAAATAGTCACTCTTTAGCACCTGACAATAAACTGTCTTGGTTGCTCTGTATTGCATCTAAAAGGCACACTGTTATCTTCTATTCACTTACCCGTTAAAAGTAACTAAGACTTTTGCGACTCACACTTAGTCTTTTTTTGGCAGCACGCTCTGCTCTGACCCAACTCAAAACCATTAAGTAGCAATTCGCAATCAGAAAGCATTAGAGTGAAATACCACAGACCTTCAGAAAAAAGGAAAGCAACACTTTCAAGAAATAACTTTAGTACCTGAGAACGCATAATGGCATTGAACTACCTGTAACGTTTATGTATCCATATAATTCCACTCTATTTGCACTTCTAGGTACCAAGTTATTTCTTGACAGAGTGCAGGCAAACAATTTCACAGAAAATACTCAGAAACCACGTAGTCAAGAACAAGGGCAGCACTGCGTCAGCGAGCCCTGGAAGAGCAGGCAAGGTCGTGGCTAACGTTGCTGTTTACTGTCAGCGCTGCAAGCTGTGTTAGGTTCATGAGAGGCAAACAGCAAATTAAATGAAAGTCGCGGGAGGAAATCAGCTGGGATATGGAACACAGGAGAAATTGCATCCCTTTTTTGTTCAGGTTAAGGACAGTGAAAATAAGGGGGATATAGCCCATCCCAAAAGACAAGGACACCACAGCTGTAAGACAGAAAAACTGTAGACAAGGGCTCCTTTTGTTGTTTTATTTCTGTAACTTAACGTTGAGTTCAGAGCTTACGGGACCATCTCAACTTTAACTGTGATGTATTTTTGGTGATATTTACCTACTTACAGGCACCCAGCACTCTCTGCTTGGCCAAACGCAACACAGCAATAGTACACAAAAACAGCACCAAAAATCCAGCCATTTCCTAGTCTTCTGAAAACAACGTACTAGAAAAATCCTCTCATACAATGTATTCCATGTTTCTTTTTAGCAGCCTCCTCAATATATTTGGATAACACTGGCTACACTGTACTTCCAACCCTCTTTATCTCACTGCACATGCAGACCTATTCAGAAAGCACACACTGGTTCCTGGAACTGAAAACCAGCTGACAAAAACTTGGAGCTGAAATAAGCTTTGAATTTCCTGAAAGACAATCAAAAAAATTTCATTTCTAAAACAAAACCCAAGCCATATAGAAAAATATTGAAAACTGTATTGCTGTAATAGATGCTAGGATGCACTACACAGAGGGAAACTTCAGCTTCATGAACCAGCAAAACAGAAAAAAATAAGAAAAAAAACCCCTGACTTTAAATGGTACCAAGGCCTAAAAATCTTCTTGTAACAAGGCTCTTACTTATATGGCATACTTATGCATGAGATTTTTTATTTTTATTTTATTTTATTGTGTTTAAAGAACAGTGACTACTTACTCTACTACTCACCAATGCTACAGCCAAGGTCACAGTTATATCACTCACTGAATTCAGTGGAAACTCAACACCTTCAGCAGACATGGATTCAAGCTCTTACGCACAGCACAGCTACCAAAGCTGCACCCCAGGAAAGGGACCACAGTGATCCTCCCTGAATTCTGGTGGCACTGGGGTCACCTCTGGTAACATATACATATATAGCATTTCACCCCTGCTGAAAAGCAATCTGTGGGAAGGGAAGTTTTAATTCTTCTTAATCCACTCCTGAATGTCAAATGAGCTCTCAGTAAGACAAAGGCACACATAATACTGTGCTAAGATCACTCAGACGTGACCGACTTCTCTGATATTAGTAGATCATTCTGTCAACTCAGAAGGTCTGTGCCCTGGATCTGATCTGATCCTGGCAAAGACGAATTGCAGGGCCATCCAGCATTTGCATTATGAGGCCACCTGGACACTCAGGTACTGTAAATGCTTGTTAGGTTTCCTTGTTGCTAATCTGCAATACTTCGCTGCACAATCAGCTGGAGGGGGAAGACATCATCCAGCCGAGCTAGATCAACGCTGCCAACATAGCACCTTTAATTAGATTCCAGTCCAAATTTTCTGAGAACATCTATGGCTAATTGCTTCCTAGAAAACTTCTTCTTTCAGCTTTAAAGAGAGAATCTGTCTTCTTTCTTTTTTGTGTGCGTGTATTTGCCTAGTTTTATTGTGGTTCATAGTCTTTTACTTCTGAGTATACACAAGCTATCACCCGAGTAAGTTTATATCACTGCTCAGCTACTAGTATAGAAAATATTTTTTGTGGTAGTGGTTTGGTTTCTTAAATATCCTAACAGGCTGGTATTTGCACAGATCTAATCTTCTAGTTCTTTATATAAAAGTTCCACTTACTACTCAAATCCTGTTTCTCAAAAATTTAGGTTATCTAAACAATCTTTCTCCTTATTTTTGTATGTATTTTTTTTTTACCCCTCTATTTGCTGATTGAGTTTTGGCAGCTAAATATATCAAGCTGACATTTTTAAAGACAGATATATATATATATGTGTGTGTGTATATGTATATATGTATATATAAATATATATGTATATACGTGTGTGTGTATATATATATATGATATCAGTCTGAGAAAATTCAGATGAGCAATCCACCACAATTATGTACTCATTCCTGTCTCTGTTTACTCTCTGTTTACTGCGAGATCATGCAGCAGTAAGGATCCCTTGGTATGCCTGTTCTCCCCTTACTCATAGTTCTTCAAAATACTGAAGTGGCTCTCCCCGTTGCCAACTTGGGTATCCTCATTAGATGAAAACTGCACGTAGTCATCTTGCTCAGTGATGAGTGCTAATTCCCTCCCTTAAATTTCCCACATGACATGCAAGAATCGGGAACGTGAGAAACTTGTTACAGATGCTTGACGTGGCAGTTGTAGCAGACCCGAGAAAGAGATTCGGAGCAATAAAAACAGCTTTCGGAGCATTTTTACCTCTCAAGATGTAGTTCTGATAGTTCTGGTCTGCCTCTGCTCCCACCTTGATCAAGCAAGTCAGACCTTCAGCCACCACAAACTCATGAACCAAGTCCTTGTCATCCTGCCACAAAAGAAAGAGAGAAAAAGCTGTATTACAATTCTGAAAGACAAGGCAATAGGGTATATCATAATGTAAAACCAAACCTCTAACATTGTCTTTATGTCTTGGGATGATTTAAGTAACTTTTTCTGAAAGATTTCATAGAAAACATTTTAAAATCAGAATGAAATACATCTCTGCAAGGCAAGAAAAACATTTACCTTTAAGTTAGATATGGGAAATTAGTATTAGTAAAACATCTGGTTTTGAATGTCATTTATTTTTCTTTATAAAGGTTTGCAGACTTTCTTCCCTGATACTATAATTTCATCAAAAGCTTCTTTCTTTTCCTAACTAATTCCTATGCTTAAGTGAGCTTTTTTCTGTTTTTTAAATAACACAAATTCAATTAATAGCTTTTCCCCTTAATGTAAAAATACCAGACAATTCCAGCAGTCAATATGCACTAAATGTTACCTTAGAGCAGCCCTGTCTAGCTCCACTTAACATAAAATTTATTTTAAATTGAGTTGGCCTTGCAAACAAGTGACCTACCCCTCATTTATGATATGGATGCAATTTTAAATTACACGAGCTGTATACAATTGGTATTGCTAGTTTCATGTTTACCTTTAACAAGCTACAAAAAGTGGAGGCTTTAGTATCTGTTCAAAAATCTAAGCACAAATACAACAGAACCTGGAAAAGAAAAAGTATCACTGATATATTGATAATTAGTAACAGCACTAACAGCTCAGAGCTGTTGCTGCTATTCTCATTAACAAAGCAGCATGGAGGACCAAGACTAATCATTTGATGGTAAACTCTTAAAGCAACTCACTTTTCGACTGCCAGCCCTTCACTCAGTGCAACCAAGTGACACCGTATCCTATACCAAGGGGCAGAGGGCATCGCTCGGAGCTACGCGCAGGCTGCCGTGCCCAGGGAATGGAGAGGCCGGCATCCGAAGCCTCCCTTCTCACCTTACAAAAGGCTCATGTGGACAAACAAAAAGCTACTAAAAACTTGATTAAGCAGCACTTAATGAATTAGCTACGTAAATTAAGCATGCAAACAATCTAAAATATTTATGGAACGGAACTACTCTGCGGACAAGATCACCATACTTGCTGAATCCCCTTGCTTGATCATTTTTAAATGACTGCTCATATATTTTTTCATGCACAAAAGCATATTAGAGATAGAAGTTTCAGCTTTCCCGGTACTGCAGTTCTGAGGAGCCAAGATTCAGATAGTAGATAAATAGTTTTGTTTACAGTGATTTCTGAATTTGCCACATGCACCAACTTAGAACACTGCCAAGCCAACTAAAGTTAAGTCTCTTTAATAACCTGACGATTCACTTACTGTGAATTTCTTTCAGCCTGACAATTTATTTCTTACAAATTTCTTTCTTTCATTAGAGTTATGTCATATAATTCTTAAAGGCTGATGAAATAGGATACTTGAAAATTGCAAAGTGATCTGGCAGTTCATGAGATATTTAGAAATTATGGGAAATGTATTTTTAATATTGCAGGAGAAAGTGAAGTGAAAGCAAAATTTGTTAAACTAATTTAAATATATTTTATGCATTCATATACATGTATACAAATTTATCACACGATACAAATAATTTATCCTTTATATAAAAAGGAAGCGTACAAACAACCCCCACGTTTTTCCAAAAATATGTGATAAAACCCAAAAACATAGAAGATAAAATTCCACTGCTATACAGGCTCACACTTCAAATTTTTTTTTTCCTACTCTTGTTGTTTTATTTTTTGAGGGTGGTGTGTTGTCTTTATATAGATAGAAGGTCTGTTGTACCTTTGGCCAAGCCACCAGCCTAAAGAGCTATCAACCTAAGGAGCGTGTCCTGATGCGTGGGAGGTGCACGGGGAAGAGACGTGGTCAGCCGGAACGTACACACCTCCAGCAGCCCTGTACCAAGCAACGGCCTCTGCAGAGCCATTCCTAGCCACCGTCATTGAGATGACCGAGTTCTAAACCTCCAGCTATTTACCTCGCGTTAACTCGTGCGGCAAGCGTTGCCAAACGACACACAGCAAACTTCCAGCACAACATTTTACAACAACTGGAGGCCCGTAAAAATAAGCTGCAATAAGAAAAGGACCCCAGATAAAATGAATCCCAATGATCAAAGCCACACCTTAGGTTTGCCTCCCCCCCCCCCCCAAACTTGAGGTACTTGACTTAAAAGCAAGTAGCTACAAGTAAGCACATAAATAAATGTGCGTGCATGTAACCCTGAATAACAACCTATGTTCAGCTCCCCCAGTAAGATGGAAATTGTCCTGTAGCAGCTCTGAGAAGCAGAACCAGACCCAGGGGGCCCCACAGGAGATTGCTCCTTGACCACCTCAAGAGCCACGCAACTGCCCCCTCCCATGTCACCCTTCATACAAGCCATTTTTACTCAAAGAAACTTGAGTGATCTCTGATTCTTTGAGAATTTTGAAACTTGTTTCTCCTAAAACTCTAAAAAGAGGAACAAATCCCTGCAATTTGTCAGCTAAGCTTAAAGTAAAGTTTATTCACAGTTCAGATAAACTCAGTCTATACACTAGAGCAATTCACAAGGAGCTTGCATGCCATTCCCAGTGCCTAGGAAGTGAGTTAATTTGTATGCCAAGGTCTACAGATATGAGTTTTGTGCCACTGAACTAAACAGAAAAGGTGCCAGGTTTCCTCTACATGGAGCGGGCAGGGCAGGAGCAAGGGAGGAAAAACATGGAAGTGTGCAGAAGTGAGAGAATTTAGCAAGAAGTAACACAGTACAGAGTCTAAAGGCTGTGGGAAAGACGACCTAGTTTTTCCAGAAACATGATGACAAACGTTATCTATTTTATTGGACAATAGGTGAGTCTCTAATTAAAGAGAAACAAGAAATATAACAATATTAATTACTGAGTGGGATTATAACCACAGTCACTGCTTCAGCTGGTGACAGCTCCCTAGCTCAGAGCATATTTATTGGTACATTGGTAAAAGTCTTGATCTTACATCAACTTCTGAAAAGTACATTTGCAATTTCCTTGAGTTGAGAAAGAAATTGGTTCTGGTTTGACTCAAGATCAAACACCAAGATTGTAAAAACAGATAAAAAGACCAAAAACTGTGGTCTACAGGTTCTGAGCTTTGTTGGTAGACCTAACGTGGTCATTTTGGAAAAAAGAGGGGTTGATTAAGCAATACTGCAAAAATTATCCCTATGCTAGAGAAGTTAACAGTAGTCTAGCTCCAGTAAACTTCAGCTCAGACCCAAGAAAGGAGGAAAATTTTCAACAGCACATAGTGATTAAGAGCTGTTGACATTCAGTGAAAGATAAAAACAGAAATACCCTTTATAACTCTAAAATAATCTCCTAACTGTTTAACAGTGAATGCACATTAGAATATCATCGGGGGAAAATTTAGCATTTAATTCACAAAATGCATCATGCTGAAGATCTGTTTTACTTTTTTTGGAATTTTATTATTAAACAAGCTCCTTTAAAATGAAAATTGTGAAATCTGCCTTCTGGAACTTTCTCAAAGCAGCTGAAGGAATAAACTGCTATAGCATAGCCATCCTTGACTGAAATAAGATATATTGCAGCGGAACGGCAGAGGAAATGAAGGGGTTGAGGGACTTTAACCAGACTACTTTTGAAAAGCACTGAATAAACAAATCAAACTTGAATTAAAAAAGGCTTTTAAGGTACTTCTCCCGTCCCAAATAAAAGGGAGAAAGAAGGTGTAATGAAGGCAGAGCACAAACACATCATGCGCTAGATATAAATTTGAGCTCAGCGCGTTATCTATTCCATCATGTACACGCGGGGCGAGGGGAGGAACCAACATCTGGAAAGCGCAAAGGAAGATGAAAGGACTCCAGACCCATATACTCCAAATTGAGAGGAGACTGTTTACATCCATTTTGTTCCAGGGTAATCTTTTCAGACCCATTAACTCACTGACTTGCCAAGTGTGATGACCTCAAGAGTCAAGGCTATTCCCTGGCAGCGGCACGAAGTTCGGGTTTCCAGCAGGAGCGCATTCATTGCGCAGGGTATATGGCGTGTGGGACAGCGGCGTGCCCAAGCAGCCGCCGTGCGCCAGTGATAACGGTTAGAGGGAGGGAGGGAAAGGTTGCCATTGGGTATGGAAGTGGACTCCTCCGCTAATATCGCCAAGATTTATGACCCCTTAATCAGCAGGCATTAAAGCAATGATGAGAAAAGGAACAAAACACGGTCAAAGCTCTATAAGCTTCCTCCTAAGCTCCTACAACCATAAAGATTGTGCAGTGACACAAACACTAGCTACTTAAGGGCTTTCTGAAAAGATACTGGTGGCCTTGTCAGCTAACTGTATTTTAACCATCCATTCATAGCTTTGGAAGAGATAACATCTTTTCCTTTGCTTTGGCACTCCAGAGGGAAGAAAAAATAACAAGATAAAGCATATGTGCAGGTTGCTTTTTAACAGACCTCTATTTTAGTACAATAAGTAACAAAAAAACCGTGAAAATATTCATACTAGTGAGTTTAAAAAGCTTGCTCATCAGGCCAGTGGCTGACAAAAGCACAAATCATCCTTTTACCTGCATAACTCAGTCTAGCTATAAAAAAAGACAACAAACCCCGTGATTAAGCTCCCTACGGTATGTGCATACACCAATAATGCACAAAGAAGTGTAGCCAAGAATCCCTGCTGTCCTACTAGGTGTGTTTCTGCACCCCATGCAATGTATTCGCTCACGCAGGCTTGTGGGGTATCATCTGGAGATGGAGACTGAAGGGTTTTTTCCAAGGAATAGCACTTTCCGAGTGCAAGAAATGCACTCCAAGAACGCATCTTATCTAAGGTGTGGTTTACACATGTGAAGATAAATTGTTTACAAACGGTTAAACGTAAATCTTTCTGAAGCCTGCCATATGTTTGAAAACTTCCCCCCAAGGCATGATTATTTTCCTGTCATCAGAAAGCTCCTCTCTTTTTAAGAAGAATCA